ATGAATGCCGGAGGGGGGTGGCGGCGGGAGGCCGCGGAGGACGCCCTCTCTCTCGCAACCTGGAGCAACGTTCCCTCGCCGTCGTGGAGACAGGCAAAACGTGCGCCGAACGTAGCGGTGCGGGGTTGCGTGTACAGGTTTGAAGAAAAGGGGGTATAACCGCGCGCCGGTGGCTGCCGTCGCGACTGTGCGACGCTCGGCACCGCTTAGCCGCGAAACCCTCCGGCCGTGGCGAGCACGCGGCTACTGAGTCGGCGCATTGCGAGGACCATCGCGGCGTCTCGCTCCCGTCGACGTCGCGCAGCGGCCGTGGCGGCGTCTCCCTCCGTTTGACGGCCACCTCCTCTCCGTCGCTCCACCACCGAGCGTCCTCGTCGCACGCGTTATCGCGGCACTCTCGCGGGGTGATCTTCCGTCTTCGTCCAGACGGTTCTCTCGCCTCTTTGCTCCAGTGTAGCGTGGGTGTTTCTCGGCTCTCCGGAGAGAGGCAGTCCCGTCGGTTGCGCCGCGACGCACTTCGGCGATCGTCGCCTGCCGTGCCTGACCCACGTTGTGTTTTCCAATTTACATCGCACTTGATTTAATTCTCGATATTCGGTAGCTTCCTCTGGGGCTATTTTTTTTATTTTCGATAACAAGGAATTCCACGGTAATAATTATCAATAATAGAACAGCTCCATTCTGTTTTCTAGAATTCCTTACCCCTTTTAAATAATTATAAATGAAATATTTAAAAAATTAAATTGTTTATTAAATGTTTATTCACCTCGTACACGGAGAAAAATGATTTTGCTACACGAACGCAGGATTGCAAAATTTAATTGTCGAATTTGTTTGCTGTTTATAGCAAGTAAATTTGCATATTTGACAAATATTTTGCATTTGTTGCAAGTCATTTTTAGTAGCGAGTACAAAAAAGAATAAATATTTGTTACACTTGCAAATAATTTACGATTCCAATATTTGCAAATAGAATTTGTCATATGGCATAGGATTAGTGTTCATAGTAAAATCATTTTTCTTTTCGTGTAAGATCTTTTTTAGTTTTAATTTAAAAAATTTTTTATTAAAAAATTCAATTTAAAATTTTTAATCTTGTTATTTTTTAATACAATATTAAATTTTTTTTAACATTATAATCTAATAATTACTTATCATTAATATTATTAACCTCGACCTTAATTTTTAAATAGGTTTTACTTTAATTATTTCACTACCGAAATAATCAAATATACATAGCATGATATAAACATATATAAATAGCATAATAAACATACCTATATAAACGCACTATCTTAATAAGAAATTACGATGTCTTGAAACATCACGTTACGGTAATTATTTTTTTATTTAAGGAAAGACTTTTTGTCATAAAATTCGATTAATAAATACAACATCTATAAAGAATTTAAGTTCAATAAACTATCATTTGGCACATCTTTAACATTGCATATTAAAACATGCTGCATCTAGGTGATTGACAAAGTCCCGTCATCATGAACGAATCTCCAACATCACATATGGTAGTAGTATAGATGCCCATGTAGTTATTGTTATCGATTCGACCTACTCCTAAGACCAGACTAAAGCCGACCTGTTCTGATGTATTCATCATGCTCAGCATAATTTCCTATTCTCCTGCTTGAGATGCCCTCGAATAGCTTCGACGCGTCCGCTTCTTATTCGCAATGTAACCAAATATTAACCGACTAATACCGTTCCTAATACCATTTAGTCCTTTCTATCCAAGTTTTACTATTGACAAAATATTAAAGCTATTGCAGTTCGCTTGACATGATTTTGCAATATGCAAATTATTTATCTTGTTTGTCACGGAATCTGAGCCATTATGTCGTTACGTCATTATATTATTTACGGGATACACGATTAATCATAAAAAATCGTAATTAAACGTCCATCTAAGATCGTAACTTAAATATCAATTACATATTTTAATGAACTAATTGCTATTGTGTTTTTAAAAATCTAAATCTATATGTAATTATTGTATAGGTATTACATCGCGATTGTATTACATACGTTCGATTACCTGACAATGAGTATTCCAGTTGTATAATCTACTGACAGCTAACTTAAAGTTCATATTTAATCAAAGCATTTTCTTCTAGCATTCTCTGTATGTCTTTTCTGATCTATAGTTGTTTCAAATGTCCGGTCTTTGCAAGATTACATAAAATGGTAGGAAAACTTTCATCGAGAGAACGTACAGCGAGTAAGATAGAAACTGTCAGGGCTATAAATCGGCGCGATAACTGAAGATGGTCTGGTGACAATGTCGGAAAAGCAGGTCGCGGGTAGGTAGGTACGTACGGACAGAGCGCGACAGACTTCATAGTGGTCTAGTTTGTTGTTGTTTGTTGTTGTTGTTCGCGTTGTTTCTCGCGGCGGCACCGAACCACGGCACAATGCCGAGAGCGTGACGCTGGTATTGATAACAGACCCTCCCCGATGGAGAGAGGGAGAGATGCCGGGAATACCCGTGATTGAAGATACATACATACTACCCCATTTTCGCCACGAACAACTTGCACTTAAAGGATCGTATTGGAAACAGTGCGACGGTTTCTACACTGCGCGACATCAATACACGTATCCATGCTTTGTAGTGCATCTCGCTAAATTCATTAACGATTGCTGTGAGAAAATGATTCTTACCTTTTTGCTGGCTGTCCCATGTTAAAGAGCTGCAAAGCATCTTCCTGAAAAGAAAAAAAGAAAAAAAAAACATTTTAATATTTTTATTCTGTCAATAATTAAAAGAATGTTTTACACAATTGTTGTAAAACAATTTTATAGTATATATTTGGATATAAATCTATATTCAATGTAAATCTGTTTTTTTTTCCTTTTGTACGATAAATTAAGATTGATTACTACACTCTCCAATAATCTCGACAATACGCGCATCGACAAAAATTAAAATTGTTAACGTACTTGTCGACATACGATGAACTGTTCTAATTTTGCACTCGTGCCCAGGCGGAATCCGGCAGAGCCGGCAGAGTGCAGAGAGAGAATTGAATATGAAAAAAATGACATCTGGTTTAATAAACAGCGAACCGGGCCGGACTTTGTGCGCTGGGAAATTGTCGGCGCCGATATTCGACGAGATATCACACAAACACCGTCATCCCCTGATGAAAAGATTGTCAATAACCTCTAACACCTGTTGCGCAGTTTAGCGACGGATTTTATTCTCACGCGTGGGTTATATTCATTTATTGGTTCGCGGATTTGACGGGTCGCGTCGCGTCGCGTCGCGACGCATTGCGTTGCGTTACGGCGCGTCGATACACGAATGACCCGAAAGCCTTTAACGCGAAACACAGCTGCCGTGTGTACCGTAATAAAATCATATTTCGACAGAATTTTTTAATAAAATACGCGAAATGTAGCGGCTATTCTGTAAAGGGTTGTAAACTAATTTTACGTGTATTCTCGCTTTTCTGTGCGCAAGTACGAGCGCGTTCATGGCTCTCCCCGCGAACGGATAATTTTATTCGATGAACATCGAATTTTAGACGAATTTATCGATGAAAAAATGTAATTACAGGGAGTTGCGGAATTATTATTTGTAACACGCTTTTAACTTTTAACTGACTGCTTATACTAGAGAATTATTATTCTAAAAATCTATTACTATACCTGATTAATCCTTTCTATTCCTAATTAACTAAAATAAACTGCACTATACAGGCACATTATTCACAACAGTTTATTAATAGTTTTTATTATTTTTTATTGCAATAAAACGTATTTATATAGCTCATTAATTCAAATATATCTGTGAAATGAAATTATCCTCACATTCTGTTCGACTCAAAATCAAAAGCGGAAAGGTTTGGAATTCCTTAACATGAGACTCGTGTCGTCCCAGCCGCAGCATGGGAGATGCATTTCCTAGTGTTGTTGATTTTTGCATAATTTATCAAGGTTGTTTGGTTAAGCGAGCCGTTAGGGTGAATCGTAGGGGTTGCTGAGCTCGGGAGTTACGCCATGGGGCGACAATTTCAGACACCCTTCGCCAAGATGATTAGCATCCACGTCAGGGACGGATTCATTCTGTTGTAAAATGTTTTTAAACATCGCGTTGAAATCCATCAATCGACATAATGATAGAAAACACGACAAACAAGTATAACGATAAAGATCTATTATTGCGGCGTATAAATCTCGTGACGTTCGTTTAAAATACGTGACTGGAAAATCTGTTATATAATTTAAATAAAATTATTTTGATGATTATTTTATCATATTGTATAATATGATTTTCTAGGAGTTTACACTATAGATAGCTTTGGCCAGCGACGTAAGTAACTGCTTATAAACATAGCATCTCCGCGTTCAATATCGAAGTCAATAACCTATGTCTGACTACACGTGTCTGAAACTACTTGCGCCTAAATTTATACGTGCATCGCGCTCTCCTCTTCTCTGTCATAATTTTGAATTAATAATGTCCTCGGTATAATTAATAGCCTTACGCAACTACGAAATCTTTAAAAGAATCAAAATTACATTAATAATAAAAAAAATATACAAAAAAATAAAAGTTAATAACTGTAATTTATAACATATGTGTGTGACGGGATTACATCGTCTATATAAAAATAACTTTGTGCGTCATTTAAGAAATTATTTTAAAACTATATATAAAATAGAAGACTAGAAGTAAGATAATTCTTCTAAATATTGTATAATATTAAAGTTCATGAATTACTTTCCACTTTCAGACATTAATTGATTTTAAAAGCTTCAATTGTATAACAGTTGAAGATTGTTACAAAATCATTTCTGTAAATCAAAGTAAATTCATACAATGAAATT